CCATCATCCATGTCACTGATGAATACATCTAAAGTCAAAGAGTTTTTTCATCCCCCAGAAGCTGTAAAACTTTCTATTTATTCTCTGATTGAATCTTTTGTGAAACTTTGTCTGCCTAGCAGTTCCCTCTAAGAGCTGTGCCTGTGGTTCCTAGCTTCTAAATGCTTTGCAGGTTTTCTGCCTGATTTTTACAATTCCACAACACTTAACTGCTTAAGTTAAAGCAGTTTCCAAGCTGGGCCTTGCCTGGAGGAGCTGAACTTTGATCTCTGTGTGAAGAAAAGCGCTTGCAAGTGTGGACATGTAAGAGAAGATGGCTCACCTCTCTAAAGTTCTGCAAAAGCACCACTGAGAGCTGTTGGTAGGACTTGTGAAAGCTCCAGGCAGGCACGGTTCCGGCAGGAAGCAAGGAGGAGGGTGGGAGAGCACAGACACGTTGCATCTTTGCCTCCTTACGCTGCACCCTGAGCTGACCTATGGGACGTTGAGAGGGGCTTAAGGGCTCTCCTTTGGACAAGCGCGGGTGGTGTGCTGAGCTGGGCTGCAGATCTGAAGCGATTCCAGCGGCACACTCTTAATAACTGTTGTAGCAATTAGTGCAGGGATGTCTCGAAGGAAGCTGCGGCGAGCCAGGGTGGGAGTCGTTCCCTCACTCGGGTGACGCCAACCCGCACAGAAGTGTAGCCTCTCCAAATGGAGAGGGCAGCACACCCTTTGTGCCGTCTGTGCAGGAGGACTGCAGGGAAGCCAAAGCCTTCCTGAGGGAGCCAAAGCCTTCCTGAGGGAGGCAGCTGAGGTGCATTTTCAGTTGAAGTGTAAGCTGAGAATACAGAGAGATGCTTTCAGTAGGTACCGTGGTGTTAAGGTGGTGGAGCTTTACAGAAGCTGCTTAACTAAGGTAGACTTCCTGCAATTAATTTGGGTCCTTTTCAAATAACCTCAGCTTACGGGAGCACCTGCAGGCACACTGGCCTTTTTCCAAGGGCTTCTGTTTTCTGAGCCTGAGACAAAATCCTGAATAAGGAGATTTCCAGAGATACGTGAGGCAGCTGGCTCCTAGCCCCTGAGGGAAATCAAGGTAGTTGTTTGCCATTTCTGAAGTTGCAGGCATGTCTTCCCCGTGCCTTCCCCTCCCAACGCCCACCCGTGACAAGTTACTCGGAACAAAAAGGATAGCAGAGCATATGTATATCCATGTTATAGATGAAGTTTGGTCACTGTTTAACTTCGATTTTTAAGTGATGTAGACTGAATTGAGCATTGGTTGATGATGGTCCTCTTGGATTGAGAGGAAGAGAAAACCAAACGCTTATTTTAAGGAAGGCAGAGGAGGGAGCAGGGTGGAACAGCATGGAGAAGGGATGGATCCTAACCTGAACACGGTAGCGCAGAAAGAGCAGCTGAGGACAGCGTTAAGCGTATTTGTTGTTTACCTAGTTGCCCAAACAAAGCAACAGGAGTTGATTCCTACCAGTGTGTCCTGCTTATGGGAAATGTTTAGAGGGAAGGGAACTAAAATGGGATGAATAAGGGGTCGATAACAAAACACTTGCCATTGTTAGTGTGTTAAAAGTTTGGCTTAATTGTCCACCACACCACCTAAAGCTGGTAATCAGATGCTCACCGTAAAATACCTCAGTGTCTGTTTGATCTGCTGACAAAAGAAGAAAAGAAGGTGAAGGTCCCGCAAAAGAGAAGTACTGGAGGGAGGGAAAAGCCCCAGTGATGGCCCTCTTTGCTTTGATGCCAAAGTGTTACTTCTTGTAGCTGTTTTCACTACCCTTGGGCAGAGGTGGTGAGGGATCCAAGCTGTGCGCTGCTTCCCAGTGTGACTGTTGCCGTTGCGATAGTGACGGAGAGCAGAGATGCCCAAGGGCAGCCTCAGGCCTGAAGAAGGTCTGTGGCAGAAGCATTGTTGAACTGAGAGGTGGCAGGATTTCCACGGCCAGCGTTCACAAGCCATGCACCTTTTCCTTGGAAGGGGGGGAAAAAAAAAGAGGAGGCTGTGGCCAAGGGGGGAATTCTCTGGTGCTCAGTGAATTTTACAGTGAGACACCTGGGCCCTGGGCCAGCAATACGTGTTCCACTAATTCTGGCATCCCTGAAGTGACAGGGTTAGTCCAAGTGGAGTATGTGCAGGAACAAGAGAGGGTGGATATGACACCATCACAGAGGCTGTGTTGTCATCCTGGTGTGACTCTGACTCATGTCGTTACCCTTTTTAGGGCCTGCTGGTGCTGCGGCCTCTCTGGTGTCATTTTCTGCTGGACTCACGCAGAAGCCCTTCTCCAGCGATGTCGGCGTGGTTCACTTTAACAAAGTGCTCGTGAATGATGGGGACTACTATAACCCCAGTACAGGTAACAGCCACGGACGGACCCGCGGGGATGCCAGGGGGACAGCAGCACGGGTTACCCGTGTTCAACGCTATCTCAGGCCTCGCCTGTGCGCTGAGCAAACAGAATAAGCCCATCTAAACCAGACACACAGGGTAAGAGCGTCCCATGGATGCGGACAGGCACGCACTTTGCCACTACTGGCTTTCCACGAGCGCCCCGCGACGCTGCAGCCAAACTACCTCTGCTCCGGCAGCAGGGCTGGTTGTGCCGCTCACCCCGCCTCAGGCCAGCGGACCCCAGCGTGAGGTTCCTCACCAACCCGCTGATGCATTCCGCCTGCCCCGTAGCAGTTAACAGCAGTGTCCTGTCACTTGAGGGTGTTAGGTTTGTCCTAACCCCCTGGGAACTCGCACAGAAGGCGGGTGCCTCCGAGTCAGCTGCTTAGGCCAGGAGGTTTCTGAATGTGGACAAGACCTGCTTACATCCCAAAGGACTGGTGGTCTCTAACACAAACCCAGCAGCCCTTCGCCTTCACGGCTGTACGTAATCCATGTGGCTTTACGTACGTTGTCGTGCTTAGAGCAATCAGGTCTCTGCGTGTGGAATAACTCTGACCAGCTCGGCGTGTCTCTCTTCTCCAGGCATCTTCACATCGCCGTACGAAGGGCGCTACCTGATCACCGCCGTGCTGGCCCCGGAGAGGGACGAGTATGTAGAAGCGGTGCTGTCCGTCTCCAACACGAGCGTGGCTCAGCTCCACACAGCCGGATACAGGAGGGAACTGCTGGAGTATCACAAACCCTACTCGGGGAGACAGACCTGTGGTGGTCCAGGGACGTTCCACCTCGTTCTTCACCTCAAAGCAGGAGATGAAGTAAACGTCGTCGTAACAGGAGGCAAACTGGCCTACACAGACTCTGACGAAATGTACTCCACGTTTAGCGGAGTTCTCCTCTATCCTTCCATTTCTCATGTTTAGGTTTGCCTTGAACAGGAGAGAAGGGTAAGATATTCAGAAGAAATTAAGTGTAATAAAATTCAAAGCTTTAATATATTCAGTTTATATATTTGATTTCAGTGATGGGTTTATAGTCTGTACTGAGACCTTTTCCTTGTCCCCTGTTAGAGAGGTAGCTACAAGACATGTTTCTGTAGCTGAATTAACTCCATCCCAAGCCCTTGTTTACCTGTACAAGCAGAACAACTGTTAAACAACGAGTATGTTCACGATAGATACTTTTCCACTGTGCTCTTGCTATTCCCTATTAAATTGCCTTTGCAGTCTTCTCCCTAGTTTATCAAGTTTCCCCCAGTGTATCAAAGTTTACATCTTTGCTCAAGTTTACGGTCACGGTCAGCTATTTCCATGGTACTGGACACTGTTCGTAGAGTCACAGAATGGTTTGGGTTGGAAGGGACCTTAAAGCCCATCTAGTTCCAACCCCCTGCCATGGGCAGGGACACCTTCCACTAGGTCAGGCTGCTCAAAGCCTCATCCAACACAGCCGACGACTTCTCAGTCCTTGTGTTAGTGACGTGTTGGGTCAAGTGCGTCGCTCAAACCGACGGCTAAGCTTGGTGGTGCAAAGCAAAACGATACTGATCGGCGGAATTTTTCTTTTTCCCCTGAAGGGCCAAAACCAGTGCTGTGACCAGTGACTCATTCCAGTCAAACGGAAGCGGCTGTGCAGGGAGAAACTTGCCTCAGCTTTACCCTGGGCAGGTGTGAGCGTAACGTGCAGTTGCCACAACAGAAAGGTTTAGAACGCTTATTTTCAATCGATGCCTTGAGAAAGACGATCAGTTAAACATGATGCTCGTGAGATCAACACTTGGTGCTTGAAATGAATAAAAAAGGTCAGAAAAATCTAAATCATCTGTGCTTAGCTAGAAAAATGGTAATTTTGAAGAGTTTAAGAAATTTTCCATAGTGTGTTTCTGGCAGCCCTCCAGCATTTGCATTGAAAGGAAGTTCTGTCTTCGTTGCATTGTAGAAAGTAAATCAGAGGAAAAAATGTCAGTACAGGAAAACAGTCTTATCAGCCCATACTGTCCAATGCCCAAACCAACCCTCTGCGCTACGTCTTGTTGTAAGGGCCTCCTGCATCGGTGCCTTCGAGTGAGGTTTGTTTCAACATTTAGCATCTGTTGTATGGGTGAAGCAGCCGCCTTAGCTTAAACAGATACACACTTTCAGGGCAACAGTATTTTATTTCTCACGGCGGAGGTAACAAAAATGGTGTTTTGGCTCTGTCGAGTTAGTTAGCATTTTGATGTCATGGCTGAGAAAGAAACCCAGCTGTGCCTTACTGAGGGCAGGACTGTTCAGCTGTCACCTATAGATTCTTACGTAAACAGATCTTCTCCCTAGTCTGTTCATGCTGCACAGTTGTATTTATTGTCGTGGTCGGTGTAGTGTATTTTCCGTCTTACAAATCCAGACCAGCTGTCGGGAGCCTCAGAACAAACAATTCCTTCAGGCGAAGGAAGAACTCCCTGTGCTGTGAGCAGCGCAGCACAGTTTAGCTGAAGCCCTTCCCGTCGGAGGAGGTCAGAGGAAGACTTACGCCTTCGTTGCTTAGTTTTGGAATAGATACTCCCCAATAGCCCTGTTTCCAGGGAGTGAGATGGGGCCTTCCCCCAACAAACTGTTGAGCTGCTTTGGAGAAAAGCAGGCAGAAGCAGCTTTTTCTCCACAGAGGAGCTCCGAGCTGGTCCCTGTGCAGCTAGGATTGCGCCGGGGAGCCGTGAGCACAGGAAGGAAAGTGCGAGCGGAGTTATAAAGCACCTGCTTTGGGACAGTCTCAGGGCACCCGATTTTCAGAAACGACGGTGTTACTGATGAGCAGGATTTTGTAGCAGGACGGCTCTCTCTGTGTGAGCAGCTGGTGGTCGGCAACCAAAGATGTGCAGGGGGCTTGATCAAAGGGGTCACCCCCCCATCCCATTTCCCTGCACGTTTGTCTTGACCTGTGCTGGGGCACACAGTCAGCGCCCACACGCTTCTTCAAGGGGACTTGCTTTGCCTCTTGTCTGAAATCTACAGCCCCCTTCTGTCCCATGCCTTTCCGTGCCTCAAAATTGAAGGGACAGACAGGAAAGATTGTTTCTGTGCTTTCAAAAGCCACTTAACCACTTTTTTTAAAACCCACATAATTTCTTGTCATGTAAGAGAAGCGGAGAGGTGCTTTTCCTTTTAGGATATTTTTCACTCTCCTCAAGAAAGCTGCATTCTAAGAAGTTGGCTCCAGCCTACGTATGACTCAAGTATTGTTGGATTATTGTTGCCTGTTCTAAAAATGACTCATGGAAACAAACACGATGAGCTGAGCGCTTAGGGAGACCTCGCTGGCAAACACCACCTTTTTTTTCTCCCCCCTTCGAGCGAGACATTTTTAAGAATCAGCATTGCAAATTTAAGGCTAGAGTTGTAAAAGTCGTGCCATCTAACCCTTACCCTAACTGCTGCGGCACATCCCTAAAGCCAACACCCAAATCTTCGCCAGTCCAGTTCCGCTGATGGGACAGGGCTCTTTTCTACCAGGAAGTTTCTCCTCGTACCCCACATCCAGGGTGCTGCCGCCGCAGCGCTTATTCCAACCCTCGGTATTTGTACCGGGGTGTAAAGCATTCCCTAAACCACGTCCCAGAAGGCCCAATCTCAGTGGCACGTAGAGCTTGCAGGGATAGCTTTGCATCCCCCGGCACGCCCAGCGCGGTGGCGGAAGCTGCGGCCTCTGCCAAGGAAACCCTGTCTCAGATTCCTGCCTTTGCTGCGGGAGACTTGACCTTTAATTTCCGCTTCCTTGGTAATTGCTCTAATCAGGGTAGGGGGCTCAGTTCCTCCCCGGGGGATTATCTTCCCCAGATCTCAGAAGGGAGAATGTTCACCCAGCTGGGAAGACAATGCTGCAGCCACTGAATAGGGAAGGGAGGAGGGAACCCGAGTTCCAGGTCCTGCTGGGGTAACACATTCATTAAAGCAGCAGCTGGAAGGGACTCAAGCAGACGGAGTTGTGGGGCTGCTGAGGTTTGCTCCATATGGAACAGCCCAGCTTCAAAAGGAGCGAGAGCTCCTGGACTCCCTGAGCCCCCTGACAGGCAGATCACTTCCGTCTTCAGTGAGAATCAGCCACAGGCCGAGGCAACACCTGCACCGAAGGGAATGTTTCACACTCTCTGGGTTCATGAGTTCACTGACACATCCAAGAGCATCCGCAGGCTCCAATGGGAAGCGTCTGTTGACCAAGAAAGCCTTAAGAAGAAGTAACCCTAGAGGTGGGAGCTCTGAGGCAGGCACACTGCCCTGCTCAGGCCACAGCGCAGCCCTTCAGATCTGCTTTGTGGGGACGTGGGGACTGTGGGATTCTGAAGCAAAGCAGCATCTTGTGCCGGTGCTCCCGTGTGGCATCCAGGCAGGAAGAACACCAAAGCCCACCAGGTGAAGCTGCCCAGACGCGTGTCTGACAGCCCCTCAGCCAGGCACGGTGGTGTCCCAGGGACTGTCCAAGCCAGCGGAGTGCCCAAGGCCGCAGCCTTGCGAGGCGGGCGAGTCCCCGTAGCCAGGTCATTAGCAGCACAACATCCCGAGACAAGGCAGCCTGCCAGCAGCCAGAGCCTGCTCTGGCCCAGCATGGAAAGTGTGTCCTACAGAAGCTACGGGGACAGGCAATAACGCGACATACAAATTAGTCATATCCCCAGGAACGCCTGGAGCGAAGCAGGAATATGTAAACCACCCCCCACCTTGTTATTTTAATAAGGTATTAAGTCTTCAGAGACAGTGGAGACATTCCTATACCGACCACTCGGGACAATGCAGCTTCTCAGTGCTACTCCACCGCACGCCTTTTCCACGTAAGCCCGGTTATGTGCGGCAGCTTGGTGCGGGTTTGCCGAGAGACTCCCACCGGCTTGGCGGGGCCGACCAGCCTGTCAGAAAAAGTTACAAGTAGTCAAGGAAGCAGAGCGAGCTGTAAGTAGCAGAAGGCATAGGAAAGGCAGCTTGAAACAAAATACAGCTTTAAAATGCACTGGGCATGTGAGGCAAAGGGCTCCACAACCAGGGGATTCTAATCAGGATTTAATTGTTCCCTGAGGATACATCCTGCCCTTGGAAGTGAGTGTTATCTCCTGGAGGAGTCAGTCCTTACATTACAGCCCAGTAGTGAATAAGGACCTATTTCACAAGTACAAATGCATTTACTGTCTAGGCCAGGAGAGGGAAGGAACATGCTCTCCACAGACAGACCAAGGCTGGAGCACCTCTGCTATGATGAAAGGCTGCAAGAATTGGGCTTGTTCAGCCTGGAGAAGAGGAGGCTCCGAGGAGACCTCATTGCAGCTTTCCAGTATCTGAAGGGGCCTACAAGGGGGCTGGGAGAGGACTTTTTACAAGAGCCTGTAGTGATAGGACAAGGGGTAATGGGTACAAATTGAAATCAGGGAGGGTTAGATTAGATATCAGGAAGAAATTCTTCCCGGAGAGGGTGGTGAGGCACGGTAACAGGTTGCACAGAGAAGCTGTGGATGCCCCATCCCTGGAAGTGTTCAAGGCCAGGTTGGGTGAGGCTTTGAGCAACCTGGTCTAGTGGAGGTGTCCCTGCCCATGGCAGGGGGGTTGGAACTAGATGATCTTTAAGGTCCGTTCCAACCCAAACCATTCTATGATTCTATGACCATCAGGTCGGCTTCGGCTGCTAGTTGCTCCCAGATAAAGGCACAGAGTTCAGGTTGTCAGCTCACCAGGAATTCCTGGGGGCTGTGTCCTGTCATTGCAAGACAGACTTGGCTCGAGCCAGCACCAACCCTCCTGCGATGTACCCTGCAGACTTGACGAGACGCAGGACGGCTCTGCCAACTCTCTGGGCACCGGAGACTTCAAAGAACAGCTTGTAACGTGTTACTACATAAGCGGGTTTTGGCATCTCTCCATTCTGCTCTCTTGATTGTGGGAAAAAAAAAGGAACCTTACTGTAA